TTTTTATCTCCCTTCTCTCTCGGCTTTGAATTATTCATCTTTCTGAGGCCTGTGTGTGCTTGTATCGGTTACCCTAGCTGGAAGCTCACAGAGCTGTGTGAATGCACATGCAGGTGCGTGTGCATGTTGTGACCTGACTCTCTCTGTGCTTTCTCAGGTTGTCATCCAGGTTGCTCACCAGCAGCAACCTCCCTCTCTTTCTTTCTCATTATATCCTCCTTCTTTTTCCATTTCCCACCTTCTCTCTGTTTCTCTTTTGGTGTAAAAGTGTGTGTGAGTGTGTGTATGTGGGCCCTTTCTTGGACTATGTGTTCAGCCCTCTTGTGTTGGAGTTCATGAGGGGCCCCGATAGGGGGATTATGGATGGAGGGACTTGGTTACCCCTTAGGATTCGCTACTTGCCCCGCTGGCACCACACAGGCTCCTACCAGCTTTACCCAGGTGAGGAGATAGCTGGAGCTTTGAATACTTGTTTTTCCCAACTGAAGGAAATGCAGATTTTGTGCACAGGGAAGCAATGAGGCCAACATGTTGGACAGCAGAAGGTTTTCGTGTTTGTTTTTTTTTAGGCCCGTGAAGGAAGTTAAAGAAAAATACCACAAGATGGAGATTGCTTGTTAGACAGATGGTTTTGGAACTATCAGTTGACAGGTGGATAATAAATGAGTTTAACCTGTTTGTACAGCAGCTGTTAATGTTGTAAAGTCTGAATAGGGCAATGATTGAGTGTTGTGGTTTTCCTACAGTTCACTTTGTGTTTGCTGTGCTGTTTCTCATCTATTAAAAATTAAACTGAATTTCAGTGGAATACCGAGTTAGAAACTTTGTGTCAGTTTTTTTTTAAATTTCTGTTATTGGACAGAATCCTAAGAAATTCCTTTTGTAAATCTTACTTTACTCACTCACTCACTGACTGAGCCGTGCTTATAATTGTCACTGTAAAATGCCTTTTAGTAACAGCATTAAAATTTTGCCATTGAAACATCTCTGAAGCCTTGGGGTGTGGACGGAGGATGGGAGTTTTTTTCCTGTGGTGTCTGGCACTACAGATTTTTGAGGGTCTTGGTGTGTAAAGATCCACCTTTTTGGATCAGGCTTGTTTAGGCTTGTTTAAGTGCAGCCTGCCAGTGATGGATCAAACTGGGACTTGGAGGCTTGACAGGCAGTGTTAACACTTTGGGATGTCTGTCATGTAGTGTTTGCACTGTGGTGGTGCTCAGTGTAGTGCTATGGGAGGCTGTTGCCGTAAGGGAGTGCAATTGTGTGTGTGTGTGTGTGTGTGTGCATGAAATGGAGTTGCTGATCGGGATAAGCTTGCTGTTTGGTATGTCTGTTGGCTTGGATGATTTATAGTTGCTTTCTGGGAGACACAGGCATCTGCTTAGATCTAAATGATGTAAATTTCATCATCAGAGGGTGAACCCAAGTCTGTGTGTGGATCCAGATGTCTGCCAGCTGTGACTCCACTGCAGAGACTTCATGGGAGCTAGGAAAAAGTATATTAAGTGTTGCCTTTAGCTGTGTCTGCAGACAAGTAAAACTCTGGCTGAGAATAATGTGAAAGATTCACTTTTAAGATTTTAATTTGCAGAGGAAAATATGCAAGGTAAGGAAATAAATATA